CTTTGCACCGTACCCTGTGCGTAAATATAAAGCCCATAATTAGTGACGAGCCAGATCCTCTTCCTGGAATCGGCCTGCATCCGCGTTATATAACAAGGATACTGAGGCTGTAATACGGAAAGGCTGTCCCAACCTTTCGGTGAATAAAAATAGAGGTAGGCGCTTCCCGGGAAAGCGGCGACGAGCCTGCCGGATGAATCGATCTCAATACTCATTGCTTCCTTATAACCATTGGGCAATTGAAGTGATTTTACCTTATTATTATGGATGCTGTAAATCTTTCTGCCCGCAATACACCAGGTGGTACCGGCCCGGTCATTCCTGATCGTCTGTACAATATTCCCCTGCGGATTTTCCTGCGACTGGAAGATGTACTGCTGAAACTTACGTCCATCATAAGTGGCGAGCCCTTTTTTGGTACCGATCCATATTGTGCCGGAAGCATCTGCATCAAGCGCCTGCACTGAATTATCCGGCAATCCATCACGAACCGAATAGGTATTGAAGGAATGGCCGTCGTAGCGGGATAATCCACCCAGGGTACCTACCCATAAATGACCTGCCTTGTCCTGTACCATGCATTGTACCTGCGACTGTATCAGCCCATGTTCTATACTGACATTATAAAAGGGATACCGCTGCGCATGAACTTTTGTGAGGCAACAAAACGGTAGCACCAATAAGGCCAGAATCTGGCATACTCTTCTTGCAGAATGCATAGACGGCATCTAGCAAAGTTAATCAGGTACCGTGGTTGGCGGCTATGGCAGCAAGCTGATTTTTAAATTCCCCCTGTTTTATAACCCTTTTCCGGCGGCTGTTTATCTATTTCCCCCTTCACGGGTTATGGGCAGTGGTGAGGGCGCTCCTACTTTTGATTACCTGAACATTATGACTATGAAATATCTGCTGCTGATCATCCTTTTCTGTCTGCCGCTGCGCTCGGAAGCGGGGAGCGGAAGTCTTTCCGGAAAGGTGCGTAATCCGCAGGGAAAGCCGGTAACCGGGGTGGTGGTGCTGGTATTAAAAGCGGCAGACAGCGCCCTGGTAAAAACAGGTATTACCGATGACGCCGGGTTATACCTGCTGGAAGATATGGCCGATGGTGAT